TGAGCAGTTTATCATCAGGAGAGGATCTTGCCATCGGACAAATCCTGTCAATGAGGATTTTTGTGTATGGCTTGCAATCAACTTACAGGACAAGATCAGGAAACAATGAGGAGATTCAAGAAGTTGCATAGAATTTTGTTTTACCTCATCAAATGCTTAAAATATATATGTCAATGCTTGGTTGGTGAATAGTGCAAACAATTATCCTTCCTGTCTTAACCACATTCTTCACAACTCGCATGACAATTGCTGTCGCTTGTGAATCTATACCACTTGTAGGTTCATCCATAAAGGTTATAGAGGGATTGGCAAAACATTCAATAGCTATGGTGAGCAGCTTACGTTGCTCAGTCAGTAGATAGATCACTAACAGCTGGTATGCCAACTAAGGCATCCTTAATTTCATCAAACTCAATGATCTCAAGGACTTGATTAAAAAATTACTGTTAAAACATGTCAGGAACTTAATTATATGTTACCTCAGACCAATTAACGAAAACAACATTAATAAAGTCTTACTGTCTTTGCTTTTGCGTTAATCTCAAGAGAAAAACATAGCCAAGCGGAAAAAATTAGAGATTCTTCTACAATAATTTAAGGAGAATGTACAATCAGTTTGCTCACAGCAATGTAAAACTCTTGTAAATGTTTCTTGAACCTTTGGGTAGCCACCAGTTTTTATTTTCCCCTTGATATAGCCAGTAGTTTTTCTTCCTGCCAGAACATCTAGAAGAGTGGATTTTCCAGCTCCACTAACACCCATTAATGCTGTGAGAAAACCAGGCCTTAATGCACCGGTAACATCAGAAAGTAGGTGGAGTTTCTTCTTCTCCTAAAACCAAAGGGAAGTAAAGGAAAGTTGAATAGGAAAAAAAAAAAAATGGGAGAAATAAGTGTGACATCTTGTGCCTTTAAATATCATGCAATGCAAATAATTGTGAATGCGGATTAGTTAATGATGAGTACCCCAGACTCCAGAGATGTCAACATAGTACTTCACATCTTGAAATGTCCTGCCTATTAATTAAGATAAGACAGTACAGAAAATATTGTCAACCATTAAGGTCAAACAAATACAACTGGAACAAAAATGGACAACAGTCTGAACTGTAAGTAAGAAATTAAGTTCACCTTTCGTTGGAGAATTCTTAGACTTTTCTTTCACAAGTTTACCACCATTGGAATCTTGACTTCCTTGAATCTTGGCCAAGTTTTCTTGCGAAATCATCACACAACAGGAGCTTCATTTGTATTCAACTGGGTGAACAAACCAGAGTAGCATTTATTCTTCTTAAGTTAATATATGATGACCAGATTAACCTACGCTTTAAGAAACTTAAGGCCAAGATAAAGGCAATGTTGAAAAGTAAAGCGAAGCCAAACAAGGCACCCAATGCTATCCAAAAATAATATTCATCAAAGTTTAATCCACGGCTTTCAAGTATTTGTGTCCCTATGGTAGTGTTTGTGGGCAGCTTCCACAATTACATTAAGAAGCACTGAGAGAAAATGAGTTACTTTCTCTAGATTTTAACATAAGATAAAGTACCATCTAGCTATCAACATAAGCAATAGTTAAAAAAACTAATAGTTTCATTAGCTTACAAGATTGTTGCACAGTTTTCTTGATTAGAGGAACCAAAAAGTGTTCCTATGAGAGCTCACCTTTTGCCACCGAGGAGCAAGAAATTCATTTACAGAAAGGCCTATCTCTCCATATGAAAGAGAGGAAACGCAAAAACCCCACTTCAACCACCCAAGCAGGGAGGCTGCAACCAATAACAAAAGCATAAGTTTACCTTTTAGATGATGATTCTGAAATCAAATTGGAGAAGGTCCAACTAGCCTTACGATGTGTGATAAGAAAACCACCAAAAATTAGGACTACGAATACTGCAAAACCACCAGCTGTCATAGCAGCACCCAGAGTCTAGCAGACTGATGCCAAAAACCGAAACATGAATATAGAGGCAAGGTGCACGGTAAAAAGTAGAACAAGCTGACGAAAGCCTAAAATCACAACAATCAATTAAATATCAGAACCTCAGCCACCAGAAAATGAGAAGCTTTCTCAGCCACCACTTTTAAATAATTTGAAGAGTGAATTTAAGGATATTTTTGAGGAATTTATAAAGTATGCAATCATTTTCTTTTACTTTGCTTTAGATATTAGGGAGCCGATTGATGATCGAAAAATAGGTGATGCAAACGTAATAAATCGATAAAATAAGATAAACTAACCAAAAAAAAGGATACTTCTGTAGGAAATGATAGAATGCACTAATAAACAAGGCCTTTGGAATTGAAACTTACCTCTCGGCCAATGAAATAGTAAGGCATGTCCATGTCACAGATTCAATTACTAAAAGAGGAATTTTCAAAATAGTGGCTGGAATTGCATAAGCCCAAGCTGGGTAAAAGCACAATTCTTTTTTTTTAAAGACCACTGGAACTCTTGCTGTAGTCAGAGACAACTATGGAATACCATCAACGAGAAGTATCATTAGTCCAAAGAACAGGGCACCCATGTAGTAAGTTGCATGAAGAAGATCAATATCCATCTGAGTCCACAAAAATACCATCAAGGTAATAGTTACAATGATAACAATCTGTAACAAGAAGTTCCTTTACACGTTTCAAATTTTTCAAGCCTTTGCACAAGTAATTTAAGAATACAAAATATTGACCAAAAAAAAAAAAAAAAGGTGCCAATATTGTGCTTGATCTTTTCTAGATATTACTTGCCAAAAGAAAAATTAAGATAAAAGCTGAACCACTAACATTTGAGCACGGAATTGTAAGCTATAATGTATTACCTCCAGAAGAAAGTCAGCTACACCTTTTCTTCGAGGATACTTGAATCCATTGAAAAGTTCTACAACTTGATTGCGTGGTCCTTGATACAAGACCTTCCCTCTGCCATCAAAATGATGTCATCAAAGAGTTCAAAGGTTTCTGTAGCTGGCTGAAGAAGTGAAATCAATACGGTAGCATCTATGATATGCACCAGCTGCTGCAGACAAGCGACAATCTGATACGCTGTTGAATTGTCAAACCATTTGCTATTTCATCCACATATAGGGCTTTTGTGTACCAACAACCATCTCCCCTGCATAATTTAATGAAAAATTGATCTTTTAAGGTTATCATCAAATGCATCTAATCCTCTAAATCAGTTATTTCATAAACATTACTACAAAGAGATGACATGGAGTAGATGCATTGTACAAAATGCTAAAACTTTCAACCTTTCTACAAAAAATTAACTGTAGTCAGTCTCTTTTTTGGAACTCCATAGATGCCTCTTCTCATATCATCTCCCACAACTGTGTTAGCACAAATATCGAGTCCAAGGACCTGGGAAGCCACAAAGACAGTTAACATATAAACTTAAAGCATTTGTACAGATACAAGTCAATGAAATAAAGTATGGTTACAGCTTCAATAAAGGGAAACACCTTTAGAATATGATCTGTTGGAAGGGTTGTTTTTTGTCCTTTCACAGAAATTGGCAGTTAAAACAACCATTGTCATGAGCATTTCATACATCTGCCAGTAATATTTAGAACAAAACATCAGATTGAAACTAGACAAATATGCTGAAGATACCTTAATGTAAGAATCTACATCTGGATTCGGAAAAATTCTTGCCTCCTCTCTTTTACTGACCTCCATCATCATATTTGCACAGGCAGAAAAAAAAAAAAAAACTTCTGTACCCATTAATTACTTGTGGGAATTGATAAGGCAGCTACGACTAAACTTTGAATTAAATTTAAGGAAGCCTGCCTCCTTGGGTTCCATCACCAAGACATTTGCTATATGCAGATCTCCTTGGCTTATATAAGCTGACATTTTCTGGCGAACAAACTCATCCAACTGGTGACTGAGCAAAACTTCCCCTGTCACCTTTGAAGAAAACACAAGCAAAACTGAGTACATTAGGACATCTAACTAAGATAGCACACAATGGAGAAATAAATTAGCTGAAAATATTATTTGCTTGTTTTCATCTTGCATCAAGCTAAATGAATATAAACATATGGCTAGGAATAGACTTGACCCTTCTTGAAAAACTGACTAGGTAATCTTAAAAAAGTAGGCTAGATTCTATCTGTGATATAAAGGTGAGGAACCTTTGGTTTGTACTTGCATAAGTTGAAATACAATTTAAACCATACCAGATTTATTTTCGGATAAATATATTCAAGAGCCATTCAATGTATTTGCACTTCATGATCCTTGCTGAACCTCTTCCAAATCGAATACTACCTTTCACACGATCCTGCAAGTGAATAGCAACGAAACACAAAATTCACATTTTCAAACAACATGTCAAGCAAATCACGTTTTAAAACTACAGCTTCATATATTATCACATTGTGTTGACCTGTCGCCTAGAGCCCAGACAAACACAACGCCGATTTTTAACTTGTAATCTGCTTGAAGCGTAACCGACATCATTTCGCTGCTCGTTGTGAATAGACTCGTGAACAACTTAGCAATCTCATCTGGCAGGACCATCGACGATTTTGAAAGGGCTAAATAGAACGAAAGGGAGAGGACGCGCGTGGTCGATACGACTCGTTTGAAATTGACTTTAAATTGTAGCCACGCAACTGAATACTCGAGAGGACTTGACTTTAGCCGAATATCGTCATTAGCCACCAAGGAAAGAAACACCCAACTTTGCTACCCTGTGATATCACCATTGTTAATTTTCTTCATATAACTTTATATGATTGGATAAAATCAATCGTTAATTTTGTCCTTACAGAATATTAATATAGTCCCTTAAATGTTTAATTAATATCATATTTAAACTTATAATTTCTTCATATTTATACCCCGAAATTTATATAATCAATTGAATTTCCAAAGGCAACTTATATATATATTCTTATGAATTATGTTTAAAAAGAACTGCCAACTCATCTAATACTGCACACTTACCACATGATTGTGTTGTATATTGAAGAACATTACACTTTCTTGTCTAACTAAAACTCTTGAATCTCCTTCTCATGGGAATCTTTCCCATAACTCTGAACAATCTGTAATTAAAGAACAACACATTAATAGTAAGAGCAAAAATTGTAGAGAATGCTATTTTCAAACTCTAAATTGATCATAATTCATCAATTAATCAAGAAAATGAGGAATTTCCTCAACAACTACTTCAATATATACTTTAAAAACACGTATAAATTAACTTTAAGGAAATATAAATTGTAATATTGTAGCTTTTTTATATATACTTGATAGTGTATAATTGATTCACTTAGAGGATTTTAACTAAAGACAAAATCAATAATAAAGATCATTGAGAATTGACTAGTATTAATTCAATGAAAGAGAATGAAAAAGTCTATGGAAAAAATATATTGTTAAGTAAATGATACTTACCATTTTGTAACTGTTGTATGATTGTATCAATGTCACTCTCTGAACAATCTTCATAGTTCAACTTTTGTAACTTTGGCATGCTTAAGCCTCCTCCAAAGAAAGTCTTCATCTTGGAGCATTCACGCACATGTAATTTTTTCAAGAATGGGAATTTTAAAGTGTAATTCCCGCAGCAGAAGCATTCGAGACTTTCTAAATTATACAAGTACAGCTTCTCCAATTTCTCAAAAACAATTTCACCTTTTTCTATATCTCCTTCATTTGCTAATACTTCAATCATCATTTCACAATATGCTATAGACAACTCTTTTAGTCGCACCAGACTTTGGATTGTTGAGAATGACATTAAGTTTTGCATTCCATTGCAATAAAATAAATGTAAAATCCTCAGATTTTCGAAAGACTCTAAAGATGGCAATAAAGTAGTCAAATTGTGACAATGTATCACCTTTAGACAATCAAGATTTTGAAGAATTGAGTTCAATTGGGAGTCTTGTTTTGAAATGCACTTTAGATTAAAAAGTCCCCACAGTTCTAAAACTTTTAATTTTGTAAGTGCTCCAACTTGTTCCTCATCCTCTCTAGATGAAAATATCTCTTCATATGAACTCATTTTCAATATGAGTTTTTCAAGACTGTTAAATTTGTAAAGAATTTGAATTGGAATGTTTGCATATTCATCCTTAACCAATTCAAGAGTTTTTACTTCACCAAAGCTCTCTTGAAACTCTCCTTCCCAAATCAACATGATGTCTCTTCCACTTAATTTTAATGTCAATTCCTTCAAATCAGATTCAACCTATAAAAAAAATCATGTCAATCAAATTAAAATTAAAATTTCCTTTAAAAACATATAATAAAACCACCAAGGAGAAAAATAAAATATGATGAATTAATGATTGTTAGAAATAATTTTATAAAACAATGTAGTTTTAGAAATTTCTTTGAAAAATGTAGACGAAGTTCGTTGTACTGTAGTACAAAAGTGAGGTTGTCTAAGATGTGTGCTAGCCACTAGTTCAACAAATATGCTCAGCCTATATGCAAACTAACTTTGTAAAATAATTTATTTATAATTAACGCTAAAAACATAATTTTATAAAAAAATTAATATTTAAACTAATTAATTGAATAAATATACCTTTTTTTTGTGTGCTTGTTGTATGGTTGTATTAAGCTCACTTTCCCCATTCTCCAAATCTTTCTTCTCCTGGTCATAATCAATTTTGTGTAACTTTGGTGTGCTTAAGATTCCTTGAGAGAAAGTCTTCATATTGGGGCACTTCCATATAGCTAACTCTTCCAAAGATGGAAAATTGAAAGAGTAATTCCCAGAGCAAAAGCATTCTAGATTTTCTAATTCTTCAAGTAACAACTTCTTCAAATTCTTAAAAACAATTTCAGAACTCGTTGTTGCATTTCCCTCATTTTCTACTATTTCTATTATCATTACACAATCTTTTATTCTCATTTCTCTCAGTTGCACCAAACTTCTAGCCATTGAAGGTGTCATTAGCTTCATCATCAACCCATTCCAACTAATTACTTCTAGAATTTTAAGATTCTGGAAAGAAGTTGAGGATGGCTCCAGAGTCATCAATTTCTTACACTCATTTACTTCTAGAACTTCAAGATTTGGAAGATCAAGTAGGTACTTAATTTCTTTGTACTGATTATTTTCATATAGTTCAAGCTCTTTCAGATTTTCAAATCTTTGGAGGAGTCCAAGTGGAATATTTGCCGACTTATCATGAGCGATCTGAAGATGTTTAGATAGACTCTTCCATGTAATCTTTCTCAACTTATTATGTAATTCCAATTCCTCCAAATCAGAGTTGATCTACAGATCCATTGAAACAAAATCTAATTAGCCTTTTATTTTGTTAAAACAAAAGTTTAATTGTTGGCTTACAATTCACAAGGCAAACACAAATTACAATATATTTTAAAATAAAATCTAATAAATTGTTTTTTATAACTCAACTACAATATTTTCTNAATCATGCTCCTTAACATCCATATTGTACTCAGCAATATAAAGTTGATAATTTCTTTTTTCTCTAGAAAACCCTGGCGTGAGGAAGAAAAAGATTGCCATAAAGTATAAAAGCCTGTTACAATTTTGCAATCTCAAAACCTAAATGGATACCAATATGCACATGTCCCTCCATATCTTCTTAATAGTAAACTGTGTAACACTATAACCCAGACCTCCAAATTCAAACTAAGTCAACTAAACTTGTCCTCATCCATAATCGGAGCTCTTATGCATGCCTAAGTCTAGCTAAGTGTTTGTCAAATTTCATAATGGACTCTACCTAACTAATCATCATCGTATAAACATTGAAAAGTACTATGGTCTCTAATCCAAATAAGTTTTTTATTTTTGTCAAAAAGAGCACTTTCATCAAGTTACTTGTATATGCTCAGAGCAACCCCACATGTAAAAGACATACAGCAATTAAATAGATTTCCAAAAAAGAGTGCCAGTTTTCCAGACAAAGAATAAGAGTTTCAATTGTTCACAACATAAAGGTCAAAACAATACATACTTGAGCTTTGCCATTGTGTTCTCCACCAAAGCATGATTGAATAGAAGGCCAATAAAAGAGCAGTGCCAGCCATTATTATAGCCAGACCAACTATATCCCGACCAAGTATTACAATCAACCAGCATCCCCACATGATAAGCACAGCAACTGGAGATATAACAACTATCCATGCCAGTAGAGACAGAACTCGACATACTATACCCAGCTGAGGTCCTTGTAATATATTTGGCCATTTTCTCGCAAATATCCAACTGAAAAAGAGAAATATGAAACAACCAAATGAAAACAAGAAACCTACAATTCACTATAACAAAAATCAGGGCACAAATGCAGTCACATAACAGAAATATCTATTTCACAATGGAAATAAAATACCAAAACAAACAATAACTAGGAAAACGATTGTACTCCAAGCTATCTCATGTCGTCGGAATGGATGGGAAAAGGTCCAGTTAGCGCAAAAACAAATGATTTTTCAACCAATAGGTCTTTAGAACATGACTACTGCAAATCGCTCATCTTAAGAAACAAAGAGAGAGAGAGAGAGAGAGAGAGAGAGAGAGAGAGAGAGAGAGAGAGAGAGAGAGAGAGAGAGAGAGAGAGAGAGAGAGAGAGAGAGGAGTGGAGGTTACGAAAGGAAAAATAAAAGGTTATTGGGACTATGTTCCAAAAGAATCAGATTAAAAAAATGAATGAAAAGAGAGAAAAAATAGTCTACGAATTTAAAAGAAAAAATTACAGTTATTAAATTATTTTTATGATCATATTAAAAATAAGAGAAAAAAATTCGGTTATTACATGTTAAAAAAATTAAAAATTAAAAATAAACAGATTAAAATATAAATGAGTTACACTTAAAAGATAAAACAATATTTAACATCTGAAATTACCTTTATAGCCCTTTATATTTAATATAAAAGGGGCAATTAAGTCTTTCCCTTTTATGCCACATTTCCCATTGCTATATCATTATTAGGTGTCAAAAGTTATAATGGCTAACTAAGGTCAGGGTTGTTTTGTTATTTATAACATCACAGGGGGATTTTGTAATTAGCTTTAATCTTAGAAATATTAGAAAAAATTAAAAAGATTGCACACCCCACTTCCCCCAGCCGAACCCCACCAGCAGCCCCAACACCAAAGGTGATTTGTATGAAAACCTTTTTATTTTTCTTTCAATTTTTTTCCTCAAATTTCTTTTTTTTTTTTAAAAAATATTATTTTCCTAAGGAAAAAGTATGGTGTTTGTTAAGAGTTTGGTTAGAAATAACAATTTAAATAAAATTAGACTAGCTTGTAATTAGACAATAACCCTAAGTTAGAATTGTTTCTGCAAATCGGAATTAAACATAAAACTCTGATTTTCAAGATATTTAATTAGAAAATAAATAAACTTTGTAATTGACGACTAAATGTGGCCAGATCTGGCCATCAATGGCCAGATCTAGCCGTAGATTTGGTATTTTCTGACCATATCCATTGTGGATCTGGTTAGAAAATATAATATCGATGCATGACCGGTCAGATCCATCCGATCGTACGTCGATACTACGATTCCGACCACCCTCTAGCGATGGTGGCTTGCTGTTGGTATTTAATGGGTGGGTGGGAGTATTTTTGTTAATTTTCAATATTTTATTATAGGGGTGTTTAATAAATAAACAAACCTAAAATTAGACTAGCTTGTAATTAGACAATAACCCTAAGTTAGAATTGTTTCTGCATATCGGAATTAAACATAAAACTCTGATTTTGAAGATATTTAATTAGAGAATAAATAAACTTTGTAATTGACGACTAAATGTGGCCAGATCTAGCCTTATAGTTGGCATTTTCCGATCATATCCACTGTGGATTTGGTCAAAAAATGTCATATCAACGCACGATCGGTCAGATCCATCTGGTCGTACGTCGATACGATGACTCCGACCACCCTCTGTCAATGGTGGCTTGTTGTTGGTATTTAATGGGTGGGTAGGAGTGTTTTTGTTAATTTTTAATATTTTATTATAGGGGTGTTTAGTAAATAAACAAACCTAAAAGGGTATTTTATTAGTTTTCAAATCCTACAAACCAAGTGCACCCTATAGTATTTAGTATTTGAAATTATTGTTCTTAAATGTTAATAGACTGGAACCACAAGGAAGAAAGGAATTATCTCGACTACTGTTTGAGTTTAAAATGTTATTGTTTGAAGCTATAAATCTGAATGTTACTTACTTAAGTGTTCTATTTATTCACATCAAACCATAACTCAGATCTTGTAGAAGGGCCATGACTATAGTACGAGTAAAAAGAAATTATTAAAATCAATAAAATATAATTGATGAAAAGTGAAAATTTTATAACTTAAATTACCTGCCATCTTCTGGAATAGGTTCCAAGCTTCTTCATCATTTAAAGTACCCATCTTAAAATTATTGGTAGAACCCATCCTATCCAACACATCACGGACTCTGGTTGTGAGCAGTAATTTACATCCACCACGATCATCTCCCGAAGGAATTCCCACAGTCGTTAAATCAAGATCTTTCCAGATATTATCTAGAATCAAAAGAATCTTCACAGGCCTCATACCCTTCTCATCCTTCTTACTCATCTTCAATCTGGCATATAACTTATTTGCCTTATCTGCTACTTCACTCTCCTTATCCAATTCGAGACCTAATTTTTTAGCAATTTTCAGTTGAATGGTCTCTATATTTGGAGTTTCTGTTACTTCTATGAAAACCATGTCATCAAAGAGTCGTTCTTCCATGGCTTTCCTACCAACTTCCTGCACAAGCGTGGTCTTGCCGAGACCTCCCATCCCGTAAACACCGATCATGTAGATATTTTCATCATTCAATGCATCCCGAACATTCTTCAAAGTGGAAGTTCTGGATTCCAAAGCCACGTAATCTTTGTTAGATCTAAGCCATATCTCTGGTGGATTAGTAGGATAAGAAACTTCATTGAATTCCTTATCTAGGAGTTGACTGATATCATTCTCCTTTAACTTGAATGCTTTCTTGCTATGTTTGTATTGGGTGATCCAGTTGGGGCACAATCCCTTGAAACAATGCGGGTTGTTTGCTTTCTCCTGAATCAACTGCTCTGCTTCACCAATGATGGAATCGACATCCTTCTGCCACTTCTCCACAGTCTCTTCAATCTCTTCCACGTTGTTTATAGCAGCATCAACCTTACGCTTCACTTTGACTCTTGCATCCTTCAGCTTATCAACTTCTTTTTCGAGATTTATGAAGTTGGTGTTGTAATTCCACAAGTACTTAAATGGACGCCCAATCGGAGCAGCCAAGCACCTGACAAGATCCAGAACAAAACTCCCGGCACCCGCGGTACTCCCAATAATTTCTACAGCCATTTTAAGTTTGAAAAATCTAAAAAATAAGTAAAAAATAAAACAGAGATAATAACAGGTCCAAAATCAAATAACAGAACAAGAATAGGTGAAAAGTATTTTAAGTGGTATCTGAAGGGGTGAGAGAGGTTTGAGTGAAAGTGTTTTTGAGTGATTTCTGAAAATTGATTTTTAGACATCAATCTTTTGATTTTTAAATTTAATGTGAATAATTCATTACAGTGGAGACCCACCACGTGAACAGGAATAAAAGTAAAAGTAAAAGACGAAGAAAGCACTTGAGTACTTGCTAATTCCAGGTGGATCCAAAGTCGTTTCTATAAAGTTTCCGACTACCAAAACGGCAAAACGTGTTTGTAAAAGCATTTTCTCCTATTCCCATTTTATTTTCCATAAAAGTGGAAACCCACTCATCAATAATTGATCTGCATATGATATAATTCTTTGAACTTTTTTACTTATTCTAATATAAAATAAAATTAAAATTAAAGTTTAAACTAAAGACCACGTGTCTAAAAAGAAAATAATTACAGAAAACATCATTCCATTGATTTTAAGATGGAGACCCACCACTTGAGCCATCAACAAAAGTCCAAATATTAAAGAGGCAAGGAAAACAAAAGATGGAAAAATCGAGACTATGATAAGATGCTGTTCAGACAGGGACCTGTTTTTCTTTAAAATTTGCCAATTTTTGTCTTGATTATTCAAGAGAAAGGCACATGAAAAGAGACTATTCAAAATTGGATGCACGTGAAGAGAATTCTCTCCAAATTAATTATTTTCTACCACCGACAATTGGGGTTGGCCCAGGATTATTATCCATGGAATTTTTTTTTTTTTTTTTTTTTTTTTTTAACAAAGGGTATCTAAACCAGTTTACGTACATCTCAATTAATTTTTTAGGATCCTAAAATTGATGGTCGGATAAATTCTCTTAGTGGCAACCCTTATTAACAAACCAAGTGGATCGAATTCAAGACATCTTGAATAATATACTAAGAGTCCAATTAATCTCATAGGATTTTGAAGTTGATGGTCGGATAAATCCTCTTAGTGACAACCCTTATTAACAAACCAAATGGATCAAATTCAAGACATCTTGAATAATATACTAAGAGTCCAATTAATCTCTTAGGATCATGAAGTTGACGGTCGGATAAATCCCTTTAATGGCAACCCTTATTAACAAACCAAGTGGATCGAATTCAAGACATCTTGAACAATATACTAAGAGCCTTAGTTGATCGCTGAGTTTGATAGAATTTGAGATGAGTCTGACTCCTCACCCAATAAGGTATTGTTAAATGGGAGGATTACCCCCTCTTATAAACCATTAGGTTTAAGCATGTTTAGTCGGTGTGGGACTCCAATAGAGTCACCCAATAGTGATTATTATCCATGAAATTTTGTGGTGGAAATTCAATGAGGTTGGAAAAAAAAAAAAAAAAAAGTTGAGAGATAATTCAAAATATTAGAACGTTTGACGATAATTAATTGAATTTATGAGATTCTCTTTTTATTAATATATATTTATAAAATAATTATTAATCTCGACTGCTTGCACAATATAAAATATATTTACATGACATGAAGTGGATGTAATGTAAGTGAAATTTTAATATTTATACCTCTACTAACTCGACGTATAAAAATAATCGTTATGGTTGAGATTGATTTAACATAACAGGAACTGGATACCCCAAATTTGTTGCTTTTTCTGCCAACAAATTTAATTAAGTTTTGTATAATTCACAGTTTTATGATCACAGTGTATTTTATCTATTGAAATAATTTTACTCAAAATCAATTCGGTTAATTACAACGAATTTGCCCGTGTTGGAAAATATCCCTTTAAAATCAACTACATAGACTCTTTTATGCAAGCCTTGGAAGTTGCCAAATGTAGTATATTACGTGTGTAATATAATGTAGAATTTAATCACTTACCTCAGGTTATATTATTCAAGTGTTGTAGAAAGTCTATGCCTCCAAAACCTTTTGTGTTTTTGTGATATCTTTTTGACGAAGAAGATAATATTCTTGTAAATGACTTGGCGAACTCTCATCAACTGCCTTTAACCTCCCATCAAAGATCAAGAGAGGTAATTGAATAACTTATTTAAATCACCATAAACTGCATAATTGTGGCATGTGGTCACATCAAGTCTTACAGGAAACACAAATATTTATTAAAATAAGAAAAATAAGTTTGATATAGTAGAATATTTTACCATTCACCTGATTACTAAAACCCTTTCATTTCCTTCTTATACATAAACAAATTAATATTTTATATTTTTGATCTTACTGTTTTTATGTTTTGTAGATTAACAATCTTTTATTTTGGTTTGGTTTGGTATATATTCAATTTTATTTGAAATTTCATGGTTTTGAGGAAGTTAATTCATTGAGAATAATTTTAAAATATTAGAAGAAGATAATATTAATTCTTGAAGATGATGTGCATATAACTTTATTTAATGAATTTTATTTATTATCGTTTTTTTTTTTTTTTTTAATGGGTTCAAACAATAAACAACAAATGAAAATCAGTTAGTTAAAATCAGGCCCATCAGGTGGATAAGTTTATGACCGTCGGTTTGGTTAACGGAACAGTTTCCGTCAAAGACAGAGGAGTTACTTCCGTTACTTGATATTTTGGCGAATAAAGTGAAGGCTGTGCGACGGTTGAGAGAACTGCTGACAACTAAGTTCCCGTCGGGGACTTTCCCGGTTAAGCTAGGGGCATTTTTGGAAATTAAGTAAATTTAGTTTAAAATTGTGGGGTCCAGTGTTTTGCTTTGCTTTAATTATGTTCTTTTGATGCTTTTACTTGATACAAATTACAAATCTTCTCTGATTAGAGGAGAAGCTTTGGGGTGGGGTCTATGTTTGTTTTATGATGTGACGTGGAAGTTCTTGGACGGTGTGATAGGTGTGTGGGACCCAGATGATCTTCCAAGGTTTCTTTTCTTTTGGGGTATGACGAGTGGGTCCTAAATGTTACCCCTGTCGTGGGCCAAGGGATAAAGAATCACCTGATTCCGCCACGTCATCAGAACCTTTTGTCAAACGAAGTGGGACCAGGGGGTGGATAGTCAAATTTTGACAAAATAAAGTAGCGGTTAGCTTTTACTGTTTTTTGACATAGCTTTGAATCTGAACGGATTGATGTAGGAATTGATTTGCCGGCAAAAGTTTGATCAAAGGGTGATTTGATTTGATTTGATTGTTTGTTTGTTTGTGTGGGTCGGGTGGCGATTCCGGTGGTCCCGACGGTGAGGGTGGTGGTGACATTTACAAAATTTGTTGAGCTACAATCAACAGAACAATTCTTCACTCCACTCTCAAGTCCTAGACATTTCCATAGAGGCTCATCCGAGGATGATAAAAAATCAGACACACATTATTCATCATTCCCATCATCATCATGGTCGTCGTTGTCTTCTTCATCGTCGTGGCTAAGGAGAAGCAGCAGCCAATCAGCGAGCAAGCAGCAGCAGCAGCGGTGTTCGTCGTCATCAACGACAGGAGGGGTGCAACAACATTGGGAGACAGACCCTTTTGCAATACCAAGTGGGTATACATGGACAAGCATTGAAGATAAGTCTAGCAACAAAATGAAAAGGTTAAAGTCTACAAGGAAGTCCAAGTAAAAATTTTAGACTAAATTTGTTGTTCAATTGTGCATTGTTTTTCTTGGCTTGGAAAAGTTATAGTGTAGATATTTCATCAAATCTTGTAATTGGCAACAATTAGGAAAAGAGAATTGCGCTCACCATCTGTTTGACTGCTGAAATGTTGCTTACAATTTTATTTTAATGTAATGGTTACTCACCTGTCTGGATCGAGCTAAAACAATCACAAACTAAGTCTTTGTTTCTTTTCACCCTTAATTTGAATACCTAAAATCGTGTTTTGGGAAGAAGAATGATATTGAGGCAAATAGTATTTAAAAAAGATTTAAAGGGTGTCTTAAGGATATAGGTTCTTTTTAACTTTATTGTGAAAGCCAATAAAACCAATTCAAAAATTAATTAAAACTTCTACATCCATATCAAGCAGAATGCCAAGTAGTTCATGGAAAGCCCCTTCCCACTCTTTGGAATTCCTGCAAAAATGTATTCTCAGTAAGTCTTGCATTCCTTACTTTCCTTCTCAGCATTTCAACTCATCTTAATTTTGAAAAATCTTAGTGACACTCCACTATGATAAATAATATTCCTTTACTGTTAACTATACGATTTAGAATTTGTCAGAAACTTCTCCGAGGGATTTTTTTTATGAAGGTTCTTTTCAAATTTAAGAGATCGAGTACAGATTTCGGTAGTAAAAATTTCTCTCTTTTGTTCACAATTTGAGAAAGCTCGTCATTTGAAGTGAATGCAGTTCTATTGCATATCTAATTCAGATATTCAAGAAAGAGGAATTATTCTACTGATGGCTGAATAACTTTAACTTCACTATATTCATTCTTTTGCTGTTTATTTGTCTATGAAGAGCATTTCCATGGCTAGCTTCTTGCAATTTTCTTATCGAATATCTTTTAGCTTTATGCCTGAAAATGATGAACTAAAAGTGTAATGTGTTGAACAGGCTATGAGAACTATTAATGGGTCCAAGTCTCAAGCAAACAAGATAAAAATACTTAAAGATGTCAGTGGCATCATTAGGCCTTCCAGGTTTGCATTAAAGCTATTCAGATTTTGCATTATTTAACTTTGAGAGTTGTTTAGTTGTTTATATAGGAGAAAGATTTTGTATGTGACAGATATATAGATATTCACTCGTACCTTACATATACTCATTTTTCATACAGGCTAACTCTATTGCTTGGCCCTCCAGGCTGTGGGAAAACCACTTTGTTACAGGCACTTTCCGGAAAGCTTGATCCATCTCTCAAGGTATCATGAGCATCAAATTCTGTCTCGTCAAATTAAGAAGCAAAATGATGACCTTGAATTATATTCACAAAACATTTTAAATCAGTGTTAAAATATTAGTTAGTTAAACAAGGAACACTAATCTGTCTGTTTTTGAGTTTCTAACTTTTAGGTTAATGGGGAAATCTGATGTAACGGTTACAAGTTCAACGAATTTATTCCTCAAAAGACATCAGCTTACATAAGTCAGTACGACTTGCACATTTCTGAAATGACTGTCTGTTATGCAACAGCAAAGTGATGAGATACAAGATATGCCTGGAAAGAGAAGGTCAACGCGTGAGAAGAAGCCTCCAGCTTGGATCAAGTATTATAATTAGCATTTGCATATGTTTAGGCTTATGATTAGCTTTATTTATGTTATGAGTATTAATTGTGTTTCTAATAAGTTTTGAATATGGTGTAAATGACATGCTATAAATATTGAGCCGGAAATAGTTTGAAAGGCAAGAAAATAATCAATCAAATTCTCTTCTTAATTCTCTAATTCTTTAAGGAGGTGTTGTTCCCTCATTATGAAAGAAATCAGTAGAAGAGAGAAGGAAGCTGGTATTATCCCAAAACCAGATATAGATACCTTTATGAAGGTAAACAATTCGCAAGAATTACTTTTCTCTATTATTTTCCAACTTATAATAGTGCGCAGCTTGGCTCATTTTCCCTTTCATGGGTCTTCCTGATGACAACTTCTGTACAAACAGGCTATATCAGTTGAAGGATTAAAAAAAACTCTACAGACAGAATATATATTGAAGGTAATTCTAATTGACAGAAAAAGGTTCAACTTTCTACAGGCTCCTCCTACTCCTAGATTTCCTCACTCTAATTCGCCAAAATCCTGTTACTGATTGATACATTTCAGATCCTCGGGCTGGAAGTTTGTGCTGACACAATTGTGGGGAATGCAATGAAAAGAGGAATTTCAGGTGGTCAAAAGAAAAGATTGACAACAGGTTGTGTAGATTGCATAAGTACTCTTAAAATTTGCCATTTAGTATATATTCTACCGGAATTCACCATAGATTGAGTTAAGTTAATGGCAATGTATGGAGTTAGATTTGAGGAGACCAATTGCAATATAAGTTATTTTTCCTGTTATCTTATAAACTCTGCTTGATATGTTTCTCTACCAGGGGAAATGATAATTGGTCCATCAAGAGCTCTCTTTTTGGATGAAATATTAAATGGCTTAGGTAGATCCACCACTTTTCAGATTGTTGCCTGCCTGAAGCACTTGGCATACATAACTGCTTCAACCGTTTTGATATCACTTCTGCAACCAGCACCTGAGACTTTTGATCTCTTTGATGACATTATCTTAATGGCAGAAGGAAAGATTGTGTACCATGGACCTCGTAGTAATGTTCTAGAGTTTTTTGAGCATTGTGGTTTGAGGTGCCCACCTCGAAAAGGCGTTGCTGACTTCCTCCAAGAAGTATGTGTCCTTGTTTAATTTTTGTGCCATGTTAATAATAACTGCCTTAAACTGATGTTCTGCTTTGGTTTTGGTTTTTTTTTTTTTTTTTTTCTTCTTTTCTCTTTTGCTGCTTAGGTGGTTTTTGAAAAGGATCAAGCACAATACTGGTGTCACAAGCATGTTCCTCATTCTTATGTTTCTCTAGAAAAATTTAAGAATATATTCAATGAATTTCATGTGGGACAGAAACTAAATGATGAATTGTCAAGGCCTCTCGATAAGCATAAGTGCTACAAAAACATTTTGTCACTTAATAACTACTGGCTGAGAAAATGGGAATTATTCAAAGCATGCCTAGCTAGAGAATGGCTTCTGATGAAGCGTAACTCCTTCATTTATTTGTTTAAAACTGGACAGGTATTGACTAATTATGAGAACTATTTCTGTGTTTGTAGAAATTAAACAAGTTCACACCTGGCTGTTTTCACCATGCAGCTTGTGTTCATTGCACTGATAACAGTGACAGTGTTCTTACGAACTCAGATGAAAATTGACTTTTCCCACGCGGATTACTACATGACTTCCTTATTTTATGCTCTGGTTAGACATTTGTGCAATGGGGTTGAAGAATTGTCACTGACTTCTTCTGACTCCCAGTCTTCTACAAACAAAGAGATTTCTGCTTCTATCCTGCATGGACTTATTCCATTCCAGCTATCATTTTAAAGGTTCCATTTTCATTAACAGATGCTTTTGTATGGACAGCTATTACCTATTATGCCATTGGTTACTGTCCTAAACCAGAGAGGTCAGTTTTATAAGTCTTGAATTAGCTATTGCTCCATGCAAACAAACAATATATTCTATCCCTTCATAAGTCCAAGCGTTATCAATTATTGTCAGGTTCTTCCGTCAATTCCTCCTTTTCTTCATGGTTCATCAACTGTCAATATCACTTTTCCGTTTGATTGCTTCCATAGTCCGAAATCCATCCGTCGCGGCAATCTGTGCCCTTTCATCCTTCCTAGTGATGCTTCTGTTTGGTGGCTTCTTACTTCCACAATGTAAGAATGACTTACAGTAAGAATTCTCAAGATAGGGCACTGATGATTGTATTCAAAATTATTTCTGTAGACTCAAATGAGTTTTACAGATTTTATTAATCCTTTTTGTTTCTTTAAAAATAAAGAATTGTGCTTAAATTTTGAAATAAATAGACTCTCGGCAAGTCAGGTCGACCTAATAGGCGTTTCCTTACTGCAGCTTCTCTACCTGCTTGGTTAGGATGTGGTTTTTGGTTTTCCCCTTTCGCTTATGCAGAAATAGCTGTTTCAGTCAATGAATTCCTTTCCCCAAGATGGCAAAAGGTGAAACTACTACTATTAATTAATAGAGCAGTACTACTCATGTAAAGTTTGTTTTTATTAGGATTTTTCACATCATTCATCATATCATTCTATCAGCCATATAGATTTCAAAAACCTGTGTCATATCAGTTGTACTGACAGATGATTAGAGAAACGACAGATTGAAATAGCTGTAGTATCACAAAAAAAAATTTGATTGGAAATTGTCTATTACAGATTTCATCTTCAAATACTAAAATTGGACATCAAATTCTGAACAAACAAGGACTGAACTTCAGTGACTATTTCTATTGGATATCAACAGAAGCATTGCTTGGATTCTGGCTCCTTTTTAATTTCGGATTCATTTGTGCACTGACTTATTTGAAATGTAAGTTAATCCTCTTCATCAGACATTAGAAGAAGGAGAAAAGTTAACAGAGTAAAGAATCAATTCTTCTTGCACTGATCTTTGTCAGTTGAAAATGAATTTGTGCAGCACCAGGGAGATCCCGGGCTATCATTTCTCATGATAAGCTATGTTGCTTAAAGGGAACGGATAATTTGAGCAATACAACTAAGGGAAACGAATTTCCTTCTGTCATTACTATTGAAGGTGCTGTAAAAACAAGTACTACAGGTGAGAAGCTGCATTTCTTAAATAGATTTATGAAAAAATATGTTCGACATTTAGTAATTATTCAGCTCACAAATAAGATAGATTAGTTTCTAGTGTTTTGATGATTGCAGTAATAACAATGAAGTTAATATTACAGGAATGGTTTTGCCTTTTGAGCCCTTAACATTAACATTGAGAATGTGCAATACTTTGTTGATACTCCCAAGGTAATTGCAATATTTATGATATCTGATTTCCCTAGAATGTTGTTGGTACAATTTAAACTGATCAAAACTCTATGCATTTCCCAGAAATGGAGAGATCGAGGTTTTCCACTAAAGAAACTACAGCTTCTTAGTGATATTACTGGAGCATTTAGACCTGGAATTCTTACAGCTTTGATGGGTGTTATCGGAGCCGGGAAAACGGCACTGATGGATGTCCTTTCTGGAAAAAAGACTGGTGGTATTATAGAAGGGGAGATAAGAGTTTGTGGGTATCCTAAGGTCCAAGATACACATGCCAGAATATCAGGTTACTGTGAGCGGACTGATATACATTCTCCCCAGATTACTATTGAAGAATCAGTTAAATACTCTGCTTGGCTCCGGTTGCCAGCTCAAATTGATAGACATACAAAATCTGAAAGACGTCTTGAAACTTTATATAAATACTGCATGTAGTTTAATCATCAAATTCGATTATTTTTTGTCTTGGGAAAAATTATATACTGAGATATCCTGTATATATATCTGAGGTTTGAAGAAGGCAGTCCTCTTAGACTGTAAGATCAAACTGGACTATTTATTGGACACTTCACTAATCTTAGAATCAAAAAGTTAGCAGGAACGGAATATTCTAGATCTCTAACACCAAATATATGATCACTTAATGTGCTTATTTTTACTACAAAAAAGCTTTTCTCATCTTACGTTACAATTTAAGTACAATAACTAAAAATCAAAATAAGACCTCCATGCATTAAAAACTATGCCTGTACATTGAAAATAAACTGCTGCTGAAATTTTCAGTTAACTCTGTTATTTAACAGGAATTTGTAGCAGAAGTTCTTCAACTGATTGAACTTGATGAAATCAAAGATTCTTTAGTTGGAATCCCTGGTACTAGTGGTATATCAAATGAGCAGCGGAAACGGCTTACTATAGCAGTAGAGCTTGTTTCTAATCCATCCATAATATTCATGGATGAGCCCACCTCAGGTCTAGATGCCAGAGCAGCTGCAGTCGTCGTCATGCGAGTTGTAAAAAATATTGTCCATACAAAGAGGACGGTTGTATGTACCATTCACCAGCCAAGCATAGACATATTTAAGGCATTTGATGAGGTAATTAACTTGGATAGAAGGATGTTAGTTCTTTTTTCAAAAATTAAATCTTCACGATGTTCCTTCATTTTTTTAAGATGATAATATGCAAATTATATGTTTATGGATAAGAATTAATCTCCAGGTTGTAAAAAACAGAAAGCCAAAATGTAATGGGTTTCCAATCACAATCTCAGAACTTTGCCTTAATTTGCTCATTTCCACTGATATCTAAGATGTTCATTTTGTTAAGAGGCAATTATTACATGGAGAGAACCATAAATTGTAAAACAAGTTCTGCTGAATGGCCAACTATAACATTTTCTTCAGAAATTTCCCATTGCATATTCTGCTGGATATTCCAAATTTTTTGTTTTTGTTTCATTGTGTAAGTCTATAATGACCGGAAGTCGAGGTTTACAACAGTTGAAGTATGAAGAATATCATAGAGTTCGTTACCTTTTTTGTTTTAAATGTGGCAGTTGATTTTGATGAAAAGAGGAGGAGAAATAATATACTCCGGAGAGCTGTGTCTGCATTCAAGCAAGCTTAGTGAATATTTTGAAGTAAGCTTAAAAGCGAGAGCAATATTTGAATTTCCATCAGATTCTCTTTCTCTGTTTAACCAGTTTGCTATGCTAGCAATTTCTTTATTTAGTAGTTAGACATTTGAATAAAGAACTCCACAGGCAAACGGCAGAAACAAAAGCTGTCGACATCATCCATAGGCAATGAATAAATGCTAACATCTAATACTATGTACATTATGACAGGGCATTTCTGGGTGCCAAAAATCAAACATAACTACAACCCAGCAACATGGATGTTAGAGGTCACTAGTCCTGCTGCAGAAGCTCAACTGGGTTTGGATTTTGCCCTTCTCTATAAAGAGTCTCACTTATTCCGGTAAGCTTTTCAGTGATAAATATTCAGTGGCTTGTCAATATGTCAAGATTTTGCTCTTATTGATACTTAATAATCAGTTCTGACACAAGTTGAACAAGAAAAAAGCTTTCAGCAGGCAGTGTTTCTGCTCTCTAAATTTTCTATATGAAACAAAGTGACATGCATTCCAATTTTTCTAGGAAAAACATGGAACTAGTCAGAAAATTGATCCAGCCAGCACAAGGTTCAAAGGAACTACATTTTTCTACACGCTTTCCACAAAATGAATGGGAGCAATTTAAGGCATGCCTCTGGAAACATCACCTCACATACTGGAGAAGTCCCAATTATACCTTGGCACGACTGGCGCTTGTTACCATATCATCTTTTTTGCTTGGAGCAGTTCTATGGCAGAAAGGGCAGAAGATGTAAGCCATCTTACAATATTCTGGTTTTACATATTTTATAGCCAGTACTCAAATGCCATGAATCACACAGCTTCCTAGAAAAGCTAAGTCTTCATCCACGTCAGTATGATTATGTTCTAGAGGTCATACTAGATGACTCAGAACAGGTTTACATTAACTGCTTTCAAAAGCCAGCTTCTTTTTATCAGGGCTGATAACAGCAAACACAAAGAAATAAATGAATTTTCTAGCCAAGGCCCCAAAAAATTTGCATAGTCTAATAAACTTAAGCTAAGCACAATTGTTGGTTTTATGGCATAAAAAATTTAGAAAAGTTTAATTCAAGGTGGATATATTTAGTGGTGCAAAATATCCAACTAGCACATTTATGTCCTATTGATGACCATTCACAAGAGTTTACTGCAATCACATCTCATTTCCTTTTTCTGCAACTGATAAGTTCTACTTTGAAAAGAAAATCCACATTTGTATCATGAACACAAACTAGATTGAGGAGCTTTGTGCAGAAGTAAAAACTTTGCGGGGGAAACAGAAAAGGGAAGTGGGGATGGAGTATATCAGGTTATCTCTGCATGCCATACTAGTTTATTACATTTCAACCTAAGTAATGAAATTCAGGTTAAATCTATTGCATCATGTGAATAATATGTTTTAATATCTGAAGAATGCATTGGCCATGAAACATGTAATTTACTTGTGTACAGTGTATACTGAGTGCCAACCACTAAAAAAAACTTCTTATTGTCCCTACAATGTACTAAAAGCATGTCAATCCAAAAACAAGATCTAGAACTTTTACAGCACAATGCTGGGGGGTCTTTATGAATAATCTAATTAGTGATTCTTGTTCTGTAGAGATGGGGCAGGATCTTCTTACCATATTGGCATCTGCATTTTTTGATGCTAGTCATAGGAGGATCCAACTGTTCATCTGTTATTCCATTCATAGCTACTGAAGAACTGTTATCTACAAAGATATGTTTGCTGGAATGTACTACTCATGGGTGTATTAATGCACAGGTCAAAAAGTTCATAGATCACCTGTTACTCCCGAAGGTCAATATAATTTTTAATCATATTGACTTGATTATGACCACATTATTTGTATTGGGAGGTGATAATTGAAATCCATATGTTTCCTTACCTGTTTGTTTCAGCAATCAAATATCCAGCAATAAATTTCTACTGGTCATTTTACAAGTATTTTGGTACTTCATACTATTTTGCACACTGCTCTTCTTCAGTTACTTTGGCATGCTGCTTGCCTCAGTGACCCCGATTACCAAGTGGCTACGGTATCTGCAACTTTCTCTACACACCCTGTTCAATTTATTCTCAGGTACCTCAACCTGGACCAGTAAGGACACTATCTTCTCTAGCTCAAAATTGTGCTAACAAGTTATTAGTCTAGCTCTTCTAAAAACCTATCAATTAAGTTTCTGAGTTGTATATGATAGTCAACAACTAACAATGGGTTCGAGTGGTAAAAGCTTGGGGCCAAGGGGTTTACTCTCCCTGTAGTCTCAGGTTTGAATCACAATAACAATTGCTATATTATTGGTTACGGACCGCAGGGTTTGTCCTGTTTCGAAACCTTGTCGAGGTCGGGGACTAGTCAGATATGCGAGTGAAGCGCCAAACACCTAGTAACAATAAATATACTATAAAATAAGTCAATGCATATCATTCATCTCGAAAACCTCATTAAGTTTCATGACGCTTCATCAGTTTTCTGACAAATATTACATCAACATATGACAACCCATGAGTTCCTCAGATCAGTTGTTTTCATACAGATGCCAAATTATTTGGAACTATGATGCAGATTAAAAATTCACAAATGTTGGTTGTACACTCCTGATTGCAGAAAATACCTAAATGGTGGATATGGGGTCATTGGATTTGCCCAACAGCATGGTCTCTAAAAGGTATTCTTACTTCACAATGCGGAGATATAACACAGGAAATTGCAGTGTATGGAGAGCACAAAGCGATCAATGACTTTATAGAGAGCTATTATGGTTATCAATACGATGGTTTACTTATTGTAGGCATTGTTTTAAAAACCGGACCAGAGGGCAACCCACTCTGATGGTCGGGTCACGGTTCAATCGGTCCAACCGATTGGACCGCCGGTTGAACCAATGGTTTGACAGGTTTAAAATCTAATAAAAACACCCCTGATAAATACCATCAAACCCTATAGGTTTGAAATCTAGCAAACACAACCCTGGCCAAATACAAATTGGCGATCGATTGGGAAAGCAGTGGCGACACACCAGGGAGGGTAGATCAGATGATGGGGAGGGCGAATCGGCAGCTAGCAAGTAGAGGCATTACCAAAAAATGGCAGATCGATGGTGGAAGTCAATGGTCGCGGTGGCTTTTTTTGGTGAGATGACTGGATCTTTGTGAACGACGACAAGGGAGCTTGGGAGAAGGTAGATCAGTGGCTGAGGAAGCCTTTTGATGCTGGAGAAGGCCGATCGACGTCGGGAAATGGAAGAAAAATCATGCGACGAAGGTGGACGACGAAACATCACGCGACGGTTGGAGATGAAGCGTGACAGCACCGGAGAAAGTCAAAAGGAGGTTTCCGACACTAAGGGAAGGTGGAAGGTCACCAGAAAAGGGGAGGTCATTGTCAATTTGCATTTGGCTAGAGGATGTGTTTGCTAGATTTGAAACCTTCAGGGACTGATGCATATTAATCAAGGGTGTGTTTGTTATATTTTAAACTTAAAACAGTTAAAAAGAGTGACCCGACCTAGAGAAGGCCCTAGGTCCCGGTTAAATCGGTCGGGCCGGTCCGGGTTTTAAAACAGAGATTGTAGGTATTGTACTCATAGTATTTCCACTAATTACTACAATTGCTTTTACATACGCAATGGCAAAACTGAACTTCCAAAAAAGATAGAAGACATGCTTCTCTCAGTNGGTCAATATTTAATTTTTAATCATATTGACTTGATTATGACCACATTATTTGTATTGTGCAGGTGATAATTGAAATCCCATATGTTTTCCTTCAACCTGTTTTGTTTCCAGCAATCAAATATCCAGCAATAAATTTCTACTGGTCATTTTACAAAGTATTTTGGTACTTCTATACTCTGTTTTGCACACTGCTCTTCTTCAGTTACTTTGGCATGCTGCTTGCCTCAGTGACCCCGACTTACCAAGTGGCTACGGTATCTGCAACTTTCTCCTACACCATGTTCAATTTATTCTCAGGGTACCTCATACCTGGACCAGTAAGGACACTTATCTTCTCTAGCTCAACATTGTGCTAACAAGTTATTAGTCTAGCTCTTCTAAAAAACCTATCAATTAAGTTTCTGAGTTGTAATATGATAAGTCAACAACTAACAATGGGTTGGTCGAGTGGTAAAAGCTTGGGGCCAAGGGGTTTACTCTCCCTGTAGTCTCAGGTTTGAATCACAATAACAATTGCTAATATTATTGGTTACGGACCGCAGGGTTTGTCCTGTTTCAGAAACCTTGTTCGAGGTCGGGGGACTAGTCGAGATACGCGTAAGCTGACCCAAACACCCCTAGTAACAATAAATATATATAAAATAAGTCAATGCATATCATTCATCTCGAAAACCTCATTAAGTTTCATGACGCTTCATCAGTTTTCTGACAAATATTACATCAACATATGACAACCCATGAGTTCCTCAGATCAGTTGTTTTCATACAGATGCCAAATTATTTGGAACTATGATGCAGATTAAAAATTCACAAATGTTGGTTGTACACTCCTGATTGCAGAAAATACCTAAATGGTGGATATGGGGTCATTGGATTTGCCCAACAGCATGGTCTCTAAAAGGTATTCTTACTTCACAATGCGGAGATATAACACAGGAAATTGCAGTGTATGGAGAGCACAAAGCGATCAATGACTTTATAGAGAGCTATTATGGTTATCAATACGATGGTTTACTTATTGTAGGCATTGTTTTAAAAACCGGACCAGAGGGCAACCCACTCTGATGGTCGGGTCACGGTTCAATCGGTCCAACCGATTGGACCGCCGGTTGAACCAATGGTTTGACAGGTTTAAAATCTAATAAAAACACCCCTGATAAATACCATCAAACCCTATAGGTTTGAAATCTAGCAAACACAACCCTGGCCAAATACAAATTGGCGATCGATTGGGAAAGCAGTGGCGACACACCAGGGAGGGTAGATCAGATGATGGGGAGGGCGAATCGGCAGCTAGCAAGTAGAGGCATTACCAAAAAATGGCAGATCGATGGTGGAAGTCAATGGTCGCGGTGGCTTTTTTTGGTGAGATGACTGGATCTTTGTGAACGACGACAAGGGAGCTTGGGAGAAGGTAGATCAGTGGCTGAGGAAGCCTTTTGATGCTGGAGAAGGCCGATCGACGTCGGGAAATGGAAGAAAAATCATGCGACGAAGGTGGACGACGAAACATCACGCGACGGTTGGAGATGAAGCGTGACAGCACCGGAGAAAGTCAAAAGGAGGTTTCCGACACTAAGGGAAGGTGGAAGGTCACCAGAAAAGGGGAGGTCATTGTCAATTTGCATTTGGCTAGAGGATGTGTTTGCTAGATTTGAAACCTTCAGGGACTGATGCATATTAATCAAGGGTGTGTTTGTTATATTTTAAACTTAAAACAGTTAAAAAGAGTGACCCGACCTAGAGAAGGCCCTAGGTCCCGGTTAAATCGGTCGGGCCGGTCCGGGTTTTAAAACAGAGATTGTAGGTATTGTACTCATAGTATTTCCACTAATTACTACAATTGCTTTTACATACGCAATGGCAAAACTGAACTTCCAAAAAAGATAGAAGACATGCTTCTCTCTCAGTCCCTAAACCTTCTAGTTTTGAACAATCTCGTTTCCTGTTTATTGCATGTATTCTTAAGAATTTCCACATCAAATTTTGATATTAGTTATATTTTTATATTCAACTTAATTCATCATATGTAGTCAACTTTTTTTTTTTTTTTTTTTTTTGCAAACA